ACACAAGACAAGAAACTCTCAACCGGTAAGTCAAATGTAGCTTTGTTTTTTTATCAAACTTTGGAGGAAACTGCCGATCTTTTTAAATGTTGTTCGAGATGAAGGCTTCCTTGACCTTGAAGGGCTTCACGGCACATATTGTTCGTTCATTTTGTTTTGGAAAACATAAATGGTTTACTTCGCGTGACTCGCTATATCGGATTAAAGAGCTCCTGGATTATGATAACGATTCTTAGTATTTATTTATGATATTTACTTCACCATAGGTGTAAACGATTGCTTGAATTAAGTCGAAGAACATCGCTTCTGTTTCTTTCTTACTTTTCTTTCCCATTTGCGACAAATGGCGCAGAAATCTCGACGTGTCAATGGCACTACAAATGTCTACAGAAAGTGAATAGGTCGGAAGAGGCAATTGAAAAGCTGTAAGACACTTCTAAAGAAATCTCGTAGCCATTTGTAAAGCTTGACTTGGTCCAGGAAATTGTTTTCGTGTGCTTGGGAGATGTTAGTACAAAGCGTGTTGCGCTATTTTAACGTGTTTTTAATTCTGCTCACAAAAAAAGAGTTTCTCACGGCAAGTTACTTTCGTGTTTACCTAGCCTTGTCGTTTTGAAAGACGTGTGTATTTCTTTCATATTGTACGCCTCCATTTGCAAGATATTTCTTTCAAGCAAATCATTGGAGGGGTCGAAAAACATGCTTGATTAGTGTAAATTGTAGGTTATGAAACGAACTTGTGTCGGCCATAAAGTAGTTACAAATCATCTTTTGCAGACTTTTGAATTTACATTAATTACAAACGAAATGAACGCCAAAACGCCATCCTGCTTATATCTTGACCTTGGGGTAGTTATATTGACTCCAACTATGTCAGTGTCGCTATAACTTTTACAGTAAAATATTTAACACTTATTTACTGGGTGCGAGGGAAACAGTATGTTTTGTGGCCCCGAGACCGTCGATGTTCATCATTACGACCATCGATCACATTGAAAGGTGATAGCAGGGCGCTTATATATATATATATATTGCAAAGTTGCGAAATTGCATGAAACTCTGA